CTCCCCATCCCTCCCCATCCCTCCCCATTCCTCCCATTACCTCCCCACCTCTCCCCATATCTCCCCATCTCTCGGACACAGGTACAACCTCAAGACACACATGAAGGCGCACTACTCCAGCCCGACGCCCGCGGCCGCCTCCCCCGTACCGACGAGCGTGCCGACGAGCGTACCGCCGACCAGCGCCCCTCCCGCCGCCTTCTCCGCCGCCGCCGCCCCCCTTGCCGCTACCGCGCTCGCCGCCTGCAGCGCTGCGCCGGGCGGGCCGCCGCCGCGGGCGGGCGCGGCGATAGCACAGTCACTACCGGCACACGAGAAGTAGCGTATGCGTATCGAGGGGGCAGCCGTCGTCGTTCTCGTCGAAGTCCCCAGGAGATGCAGAGGAGTCCGAGAGGACCCAAGAGCAAGACGGCCCCGGTGCGCAAGGGCCCGGGGCTCGGTGTGTGCTCGCCGAGAGTTGTTCCGCTTCCGGCGGCGCGCGTACAGTTGTAAGCCGTGTAGCATGAACTCTCATGAAGATCGCTTAAGGTCCTTTTAGTTTTTTACAGTTATCTTGCCGTGAGACAGACGCCCAACTCAGAAGCGCGCGACTGTCGCTCGGGACTCGCACAGCGCGAAGGTTGATACACAAAATGTGTTACACATACTCGGCGGAATATTACTGCGGAATGCGCCGCCCTCCGCGCCTACCGTGCGCGCCTCGGCGGGGAGCTTGTCGGCGATGGCGCGGTAGACGTCGAGCGTATTGCGGCAGCGGTCGCTGAGCATGCCGAACTCGCTGGCGATCTGCGTGACGGCGAGCAGCGCCTCGTCGTTGCCCATGCCCATGAAGAGGGGCTTGCTGTCGTCGAAGGCTTGCTCGGCCTGCGTCATGGCGGCGCCTGGCTCGTGGCGTGCGAGGGCGGCGATGCGGAGGAGCGTGGTGACGCCTTGTGCCTCGGCATACAGGTCGTTGCTCTCGGGGCGGCGTAAGAAGAGCTCGACGGCGGCGGCGGAGCGGTCGAGGCAGCTGCCGATGGCGTCAGCGAGCCACGTGTCGGCCTCGAGCAGAGCGCTGTCGCCTGCTGCGATGTCGGCGACGAGCTGGCTGCGAGTCCCGCTGGCCCAGAAGCCGTGGAGCCGGCGGAAGATTTCGCCTCTGCGATACGCCTTCCTCCACAAGCGGTTGATGAAGGGGACGATGTCGGTCTTGACGAGCTTCGTCTTGAGCTCGTTAACCTCGGCCGCCGAAAGCGCCTTGAATGACTTGCGGCTGGCAGAGGTGGCGCCGGAGACGCTGGCGCAGTTGAGGAGCGTCCGTAGTTCATCGACGGTGACATTGGCAGGGGCGGAGCCGGCGGCATGTGGGGGCGCGGCGCCGGCACCAGGCGTAGGCGCTGGAGGCGGTGCTGGCGCGGGCGGCGGCTGTGGCGCTGCTGGTGGCATCCAGGCCTGAGACGGGTACGTGCCTGCGCCTCCGCAGAGGGGCGGGATGGCGCCGTATGCACCGGCGGGTTGCGGGTAGCAGTAGGCCTGCTGCTCCCACTGGGCAGGGTGGATGGAGCCTCCTGGCTGAGCCATGCCCTGCATGAAGGGGGGCAATGCCGGGTCCATTATGCACTGCTGCGGCATGCCGTACTGTTGCTGCGGCGAATACATAGCGGGCTGCGAGCACAGCTGGCCGGCGCTGGCGCAGAAGGGCTGGCTGAAGAAGGGCTGTGGGGCTCCACACCCGCCATGCATATGCAGTTGCTGGGCCGGCGGGACCGGCTGCATCGGCATTGCGCATTGGCTGTGCGATGCCGCACCACATTGCGATGGTGATGCGTAGGAGCCGGCGGGCGGCACGTGCCCGACGGGTGGCTCGTGCCCAGTCGTCCCTGGTGGCGGGCCGGTGGGCAGTGGCGGCAGCTGCTGCGGTGGCGGCCGCAGCACTGGTGGCGGCGGCCGCATGGCAGGCGCTGAGCCTGCGGGCGGATTGGCGTGTTGGGCTGGCGCTGGACCGCGATCAGAGCTGATACCATGTGACGGCGGAGTTGACGCCTCCGACGGTCGTAGCGGCGTGGCTGAGGGCGGCGGTGGAGGCGCCCGATAGCGCGGTGAGGATGGTCTCATGGGTCTAGCAAACCATAGACGACACCAAGAGAACGCGCGGTAAAACCCGACGGCTATGGATGGTAAAAGGCGGCGGTAAAACCCATCCACACGGGTTTCGGTGGGTTGGATGGGAGGTAGAATGTCTACCTACCGCAGTTGTAGTATTCTTCCGCCTTGACGTACTCCTTCCAGACATGCAGACTCCCTCCTGCGGCGGCAGGGAGGGGCGCGGAGCCGGAGGCGAGTTGAGAGACGAGAGTTTGGAGCGCGCTGTCTGCACTGCGGTAGGCGAGGCGTGGCGGCGGCGACCTTGTATCCGAGGACCGCGGCAGGCTGAGTCGATCTGTGCGCAAATCCAGGTGATATCGCGCGCGCGCACGCAGCACCACGACCAGCACAGCCGCCGCGGCAGATAGAGAGAGACGAGCCGCGGCGACGGCCGCAACTGATAACTGCCATTGGACACACACACACACACACACACACACACACACACACACACACACACACACACACACACACACACACACACACACACACACACACACACACACACACACTGTGAGAGAGACTCGGCACACGTTGGAGCGACACACAGTGAGACAAACTCACAGGGCTAGTCATCGTCGCCGTCCTTCATGCTCGGACACTCTGGCCCGGGACTTCCCAGCTGCTTTCGCACCGTGCAGTGCTTGCTCGCCTCGAGCCGCGAAGGCTCTCGGTCCGTCCTCGGCGGCTCCGGCATGCAGAGCCTGCACACCGGTAGGCGCGACGTCTGGTTCGTCCGACGAGGCGCCGCGCCGACATGGTCGTCTCCCTCGACGGCGGCGCTCGGGGCGTGCCTGCGCCGGCCTCGAGCGGTCGCCTCACGCTGAATCGCGACCGGCGCCTCGCGGGTCTCTTGCTCCCACCAGCTAGCTGGCCCGCCAGCTGGCTGGCTAATGGCGGGGCGAAGGTTTCCGCGTCGCTGTGCGGGCTCGCCCTGCAGCATCTCGCACCACGAGGCGTTGGCGGCCTCGAGCAGCGAGTCGAGGCACAGGAGCTGCTCGTGGGAGCCGCGGCTGCGGCACGGCTGCGGCTGCGCGAGCCGCGAATCCAGGCGGAGAGCGGTGGAGGCCACCCCGCGCGAGAAGACGGCCACCCAGTCGCGGTAGGTGTACGCCAAGGCTCGCGCTGGCGGCCAACGCGCGGCGGTGATGTCCGGCAGGCGGCAATGCCACAGGAGGTCGGGGCGCGCGCGCACGATCCAACGGAACTGCTGGCCTCGCTCTGCCTCGAAGCGCTCGACGTCGCTCGCGCAGCCCGCGTAGCGAAGCAGCAGCGGTGCGCAGGTGGAGTATGGGCAGCCGACTGCAGTGCGCCTGAACACGCCTGGAGCCGATGCCACGCTCAGCTTGTGCTGCCGCAGCAGCAGCTCGTCGTCCAGCAGCGACATGCTCGCCGGCGCGATCCGGTGGACGATGGCGTCCAGCGCCGCCCGCGAGGTGAGGGCGGCGGGCGACGCACAGTCGACGAGCACGCGGGTCCAGCGCATGCCTCGGGTTCCGCACGACCGCGACTGCCGGCTCACGTGCATGAAGAGGGCCGCCCGAAGCGGCCGTAGGACCGCGTCGAGCAGGTTGTCCTGCAGCCACGCGTTGGAGAGCACGCGAAGCTGGCCAGCGAGGCACACCGCCGCCGGCGCCGAGGGTGGGGCGTTGTGCGGCAGCCAGAGGCGCATCGACGACGGCGCAGGCACGGGGTCCGGCATCGAGTGGGTGCCCGGTGCCGAACCCAACCTTGACCAGCGCTGCAGGTGGCGTGCGTACGGCAAATTCGGAACCGGACGCGGCACAAACTGGCGGTGCCGCTGTATGTCGCCCCACGCATTCCGCGTACGCTTTTTCTTTTTTCGCGCTTTTTACGTTTCACTTTCACACCGGCTTTCACACCGGCTTTCAATGATGGCGAGCTTGCCCGAAGGAAAGGGCCCGGGCTCTGCGTGCTAAGATGAGAAATAATTGCAGGCAAAGCCCCTCTCTCTAGCACAAAGGTTGGAGAAAAGAATTAGATGTGCCAGCGCCCAGTCCTGAGGCTCTCACTACGGCGGTGCTCAGGCTGCTTCTCCCAGGCCCAGATCGAGATCGAGATCGCCCTCCTTTGTGATGGATGGCATCATCGTCAGGCCGCCAATGGCCCCCTCTGGGAACTCGATGCAATGCGAGCGGGCACCGCCAGTCTGCGGTGCAGACTGGCGGAGACGAGGGGGGCGGGGTGTGGGGAAGGTCTCGTGCGCCTCCCGGTACAAGAGGCGCGGACGAGGTTCCTCTGCGCCGAGATGTGTGACCCACACGCACAGCTCAACCTTGTGCGTCCCGTTGCGTGTGTCGTAGACGCTCTTGCTCAGTCCAAATGCGTCGCATTACGCAGCCCGTCGAACGCCTCCCCCTTCAAAAATAAATAGAAAACGTCAATACATACACGTAATCATCGCGTGCGTGACGGTGCGATGGCCCTGTGGTTGCCTCATACGTACCACGTGTCACGTATACGGATTATGGATCTCCGCCGGTGCGCCGCGGCCCGTGGGGGCGGGGCGGGGCGTCTTCGACGTATCACGTATCCGCATTACGCATACGTCCTTTTCACCGCAAAGCTTTGCCCGGGGGACGGTGCAATGGCCCGCGCGGCGGGTGCCTTACGTACCACGTCTCACGTTTACGGATTATGTATCTCGCCCCGCGCGCCCCCGAGCCCCCCCCCCCCCTTACGTATCACGCATACGCATTACGCATTACGTATTTTTCTTTTTGTGCTCGCCAAAACAGATGATTGCCTGGCAAATGTTCAGGCCACTCGCAGCCTTGTTTTACTCCAATACGAATCCCAATTGTCAAACTTGCGGATCTACGTGCGTTGCATGATGGCCCCGCCGCGGACCGCGTAGTCACGGGGCGGAGCGCGCCGCTTGAGATGTATTATCATACGATGCACACGACGCGTGTGGTCGTGTACGGCTTTGGCTAGTGCCATTTCACTGTGGCACAGCTCGCGTTACAAAACCTTGATTTGACCATTTGCGCCATTTTGTCCCTCTCGGTGCCTTCCAGAGGCACGGTCGAGACTGGCACGGAGTCTGCAGCTTTGACGACAATCCGCGATGCCGACTGCAGGAGCCCTCGCATTCTGCAGCTTTGACGAGCCTCACATCAAGCTCACCGCCTATGCCTGGCAGGGCGACCTGGAAGACGACAGCCAGCATCCAAACATGGGCCTCGATCTATACGCTGTCAGTGGCGCGACCCGTGGGAGGCCGATTTTGTTGTCGGGGAGGATTACATTGTTTGCCGCCGCGTGGACCGCACAGCCTTTCTGCGCAACGTGCAGAGGATCGCCGAGTGCATTGTACACTTCTTCCTCATCGAGGAACTCGTGGCCGAGGACGATCAGCTCGTGATCGTGGACGAGCCGCATCACAGCTTGAGTGCTCTAGGTTGTGGTTTCTCGTACCACCGTCGTGCTCTCGTGCAAGGTCGGACCCACTTGCTCCACGCCCGCCCCTCGTAGAGGGTTACCGGGAGCCATCGGAGATCATCTCGGGTCTCTGAGCGGGTACGATGTGGCGGCGTTCCGTCCGCCGGAGCCACGCGAGCGCAGCGAGCCGAAGCAAATTTTGAGCTGTGGCCTGTGGGCTGTATCTGCTAGAGCCGTATCTGCTATAATAAATAAATAAATAAAACGGACACCTCTCTACTGTGAGATGGGTAAAAAGGAACAGGCCCCCGCCCTTGCGATCTTTGTGCAGGGTTCTTTGTGGGTGTGGTCGGCGACTAGCCGGGGTCGTCCTCCCGGTGGGGGACTAGCACTAGCCGTCTTCCACATGGTCCCTCGGGTCCCTGCTGCTCCTAATCTCTTCGTACATCCTCCTGCTGATCTCCGCAAAGTCCTGCTCCCTCCCTCGTCTCGCCCTGCGCGTCTGCTCCGCCTCACCGTCTTCTGCCCTGCGTCGTCTGGCGACGGGTCCTCCATAGTCGGTCGAGGTCGCCGCCCTCCTCGTGCCTCTTCCCGTATCTGCTAGTGGCTGGGGCAGGCGCAAGTGTTGTTCGCGCTCCCTAGGTAGCTCTTTGGTATTGTTGTTCAGCCGGCCTAACGTTAGCTACTGTTGTTGGGGAGCCCCACTGTTGTTCTGTTGTTACTGTTAACACTAGCAACACTGTTCAGCTCTTAACGTTTGACAGCCCTAGTGTGTTTTGCACAGATTTCTTACCTACTGACGTATTCGTCACTCCTAGCACATACACGTATATGTCTCTCACGTGTCTAGCCTAACAAGTAGAAGTAATAGAAGACTCACGGCGGTCAGATTTTGGCCATGACAGAGTGCAAGCTTACAGCAAGTCGGTATGCGGAGGCTGCTGGCTGGCCCTCTCGCTGGCTGGCCGGCCGTACGAGCCTGTGCTTGGATCGTACGGCGTCATGCGGGTCGAGTCACGAGAGAAAGGGAGGCGAAACAGCGAGAGGAATGCGCGGCAGCCGCGCGTGCGCCAGTCCGCCTTGCTGACGGCGGGGCCCCTAGACCAGCCGCGAGATGACGCCGCTGATTGCAAGTCGCGCGCGTGGCGCTGGCCTGCTGCCGTGCCGCGTGAGGCGCCACTGGCCTCGCTGTAGGCTGGTCCGCTGTCGACGTCGCCGTCGTGCGGCGACTGCTCTCTCCTCGGCGGCGCAGAGTACACGTCGCGGTTGGCCGAGACAGCGAGCTCGAGCACAAAGATCCTACTCATGGGGAAGGGCGGTCAAGGCCGTGCTGTTCCGCGCCGCGCCGCGCCGCTCGGCACAAAGACCCGAGGTAGACGCCGATGAAGGTGACGGCGAGGAAGATGAAGAATGGCGGCTTGAGCCGCGTGCGCGACATGCCAAAGATGGTTGGCACGTCGACGAGGTCGCCAAAGTACTGGTAGATTGCGGCGTCGATGGTGTCCCTCTTGTCCATGAGCATCTGCTTCAGCACGGGCCCGAGCGGCACGAGCGCGGTGCCGATGGTGAGGATGAAGACCTCGGGCGTCGAGTACGCCTGCAGGACATGTCGCGGACGTGTCGCGGACGTGTCGCGGACGCGTCCAGCCACCTCGAGCGGCGAGGGGGCCCAGCCAAAGCGCGTGAGGTAGATGAGGTGGTGGCGCTCCCGCGGCCGCATCGGCACCACCCAGAGGTAGAGGCAGCCGAAGAACCACAGCGCGGGCGCGACGAGGAGCAGGAGGAAGTAGATGGCCACGAAGATGTTGATCCACGCGCGGCTGGTGTCGGGCGACGCCTCCCTCATCGCGAGGCCTACGTGGCACGCCACGGACGCGTCATGGACGCGTCTTGGAAGGAGAGGCCACGCGCCCCTCTCGGCACAGGCCGAGGCCGACGAGGGACCAGCTCTTGGACTTGAGCGGGTTGCCCTCATCGAGCATGTCTGCCGAGAGTCCTATCTGCTCCAGCTCGTACATCTCCGCGGAGATCGCGTACAGGTAGCCGCCGGCGTTGATGACGATGGTGACGGTCACTAGCAGCTGGGTGAGAGCCGACAGCTTCCAGCCGCGCCGTCCCGACTGCCCCCTGAGGTTCCTCTGCACGAAGCAGAGGTACCTGTCCGAGAAGAGGAAGTGTCTAGGAAGTGTCGAGGAGGTGTCGAGGAAGTGTCGAGGAGGTACCTGTCCGAGAAGCGCTCGAAGGTGTGGCTGCACAGCTGCGAGGGCGGACGGTGCGAGTCGAGCATCAGCGCGATGTCGGCGAGCGTGCTGAACTCGGTCTGGTACTCGGCTTGCCCCGCGAAGGCCTCCTCGTCCTCCGAGCCGAAACTCGACTCGCGGCAGAGACCGTACTCCGGCGCCGAGCAGCGCCAGCCCGGCACGGAGCCGCTCACCGAGCGAGAGGCGGCGCCCGCGCTGCGCAGCCCAACCGACGGCGGCGACGCCCGTGACGCCTGGCTGCCGCCCCAGTCAGCGGAGCTGCGCTGCTTGTCCAGCTCGGCCGCGGTGGGCGCCGTCCTGACGCGCTTGGTCCTCGGCGGTCGCCGCACCGCCGGCCGCAGCGGTGGCTCCGACTGCTCTCCCCTCACGTCGGTGCCGCTCGCCGGCACCGCGGGCGACGCCGTGAGCGAGCCTGTGGGCGACGCAGTGAGCGAAGCGCCGGGCGAGAGCGGAAGGCCCGACCACCAGAGGTCGGCGGGAGGCGGCGGGAGCGACGTCGCCTCCTCGCGGCGCTCGTCGCGGGCAACCTCGGCGAAGAAGACGGAGCGGCGTATGTGCGGCGCCGAGGGCGACGGCTGCACGCCGCCGATCTGAACGAGGCGCCGGAGCGCCGTGCCGGGGGTGGACACGGAGCGCGGCTCGGGCGACGCTGGAGCGACGGGGGAGGGGGGCGGGCGTGGCAAGGGGGGCGAGCGTGGCAAGGCCGCCTCCTCGTCCTCCGCCGCCCTCTCGTCCAGCGGCGCCGCCTCCTCCACCTCGACCTCCGCACGGCTCGCAGCCGGGATCGCGGTAGGGAGGGCAGAGCAGGACGGCGTGGCGCGGTAGCAGCTCCCGCCCAGCCCCCGAGCTCCCTTGCCGCCGGCAGCGGAGGCGGCCCTGCTCGGGAGCGGAGAGGCTCGCGTCCAGCTCGACGGCGCGTGGGCGGCGGCGCCCAGCGTCCTTCTCTGGAAGAGGTGGTGCTGCCTCGCCTCCACCTTTAGGACGGCGAGAGGCAAGGGGGCGACGG